TTGAAGCAGCCATGTTCACCCTGATTGAAGGCTTTAAATATTAGTGGAAATCTGGTTCAAAAGGTCCAACCACAACCCCTCTTCTGCAGTCACATGAACAATTTCAAACTTATCACATAGCATCCAAGAATGTCCGTATCCTTATTATTGTTCGACATCGTACTGACCATGTTGAAACAGCTGATGATGTTAATATTCAAACCTGAATGTGGTCAGGCCGTTTTCACCCAGGTGCACAGGAAATTGCATGTGCATTGTCAGTTCTTAGGAACAACCTCAGTGACCTTGACTCCTAAGCAGGTGGCAGGAGAGACGCCAAGTTTTCTTGCATTACTGGACCATACTTCATGCCAGCCTCACCCGTAATACGTGATTAAACGCTATCACTTCATCTCCGTCGGTGTCTGTACGAAATTCCTTGTGTCTATTGCTGCAAAATAGTAAACAAGGCAAAAGTACCAATGTCATCGTGATTGGACTAGCGTAGATTATGATAAGTGAGCAAAAATCGGCATATTTTAGAAACAACTGCAATCGAGTAACACTGGATTATCACCTAACAAGTCTCCTCCAAATGTGGCAAAAAGCCGATTTGTTGCAAAAAATTCTGGCTGTGAGCACAAAGTTCCCACCTTCCTTAGGTACGAAAGGACGGGGGGAGCAAATCGACGATTTCGTAATGCGTGTTCGCTGAGTGAGAGCCACACGATACCTGAGTTGTGATTGGCAAATTGAGGGTAAAGCAACACGTTTTTTTTCCGATAACACCTCACGAAACAGTATATAAGCACAGTCGCTCAACATCGCTAAGCGTTAGTCGACGATGCTTGCAATGGATGATGACGAGTCATTCTGGAGTTTATTCAGCCAATTTCTAGAATTAATACGGAATGGAGAGGGTCCGGCCAACCCGGATCCAAATTTGATACGACTTATTCTTCACGATTTGCTGCAGACTCACTCGGATGGACTCAATATGCTCAGTGGGATGCATCTGAGTGATGCACAAGATGACGATTCGGGTTATGCACGACGCATGTTTTATAATATGCTCCAGACTGATTTGGAAACACTCAGTCCAACAGGATGGTAAGCATTCATTCGTAAAACTTGACAAGCCTCCAAATAGGACTGCTCCACAACAGTCTCCGACTGAGCGATTACACATAACACAGCACGCGCCAACACCCCGACCCATTGTCGGACGTGGGAACACACAAATGCAATATCCGACGCAGACATGGGTGCCATATCGGATGTTACTGCAACAACAGCAACAACGACGACAAGCAATGCATGTTTCAAGATACGCGAGGCATGCAAATCCATACTGCAACGTGCTATACAAAACAAAACGTTGCAGACATTATGAACGCTATGGCACATGCTCTTGGGGTGAATCTTGTCAATTCGCCCACGGACTCTATGAACTGCGGCTCCCTCAATATCACCCAAAATATCGCACGAAGCTGTGCCGAATGTTCTCTGTATGGGGATCTTGTGTATATGGTGACCAATGCCACTTTATCCACGTGTAGGCACGCTGCGATTTTGTGTTTTGCCGTTGTATCACCATGGTCGTAACATCTCTTGTCTATGCATGTTTTCGATATTGTGTTTAATCCCACTTTACTGACAAACTTGTGATAATTTTGATATGTGGCATGTAATTGTGGAGGATCGACGGTAAGACGCCCAATGCATTTAATCCACAAGTAAGTGCTATGTGTATGTGTGTGCTACAGACAGACGTGCTACTTGTCGATGTCGTTAATGTTGCATTTCTCATTCATACATGTCTCCATACAAGATCATTGTTACCGCTATCACGACTCAATAAAGCTGTGTTGATAAATCGACAACTTGTTCTGACTTACTTCAAAGGTAACCTGGATAGTGGGATTGCGCAGCAAGACGTGATATGTGGTTTTGGTTATCATAAGCCAAGAACACGTGGATGGAGCTTTAACTGTTAGTGGCTAGTGTGCTGATTGAACAATTGGAGGTCATTAGGCAGAAAACCACAAGCTGTCAAATGGACTGACCTTGGTACAGTAGTGAGAGTCGTGCGATAATGTCACCACTGGACCGTCAATAAAAGTGGATACAATAAGTTTACTTAATCGATAACGTGCTTGTGTTCAGGGTTAAAGGAAAATAAGTGCAAGAGCCATTGCTGTGCTCAATTACGGTGTAATTCTTGTCGTACTTATTGAGGAACAAATTTCGTACCGAGGGGCTAGCAAAACTGACGATCCTATCTACCTTTTAGATTTCTACATAGGCTTGTATTGCAAGTCGTTCACTGCAAAGCAGCAGCATCAAACCTGCTGGCACAAACTATAACTCCTTCGATAGCCTTGTTCTTTATGGCATGTGCGGTTAAAGGTCCATTATTTTAATGATTCAGCATTTGCTGTAAAACGCGGATATCCTCATGATCATGACGCCGATCTTATCGATGTCTAAGTCCATTGTCGTGAATCCGTTAAAGGACTGCTTTCATCCGCTTTCGACCTCTATTGGTAGGTCGTCGAGGTATGCTGCTGCTGCAGGAGTGCCAGTGAGAATGGTGTCTGTGAATTGCAAAAAATTAAGAGGAGCGGTCATGTCACTGAAGTGCAGGTAGTTGCATTGGAATAAGCCGCGATGTGGATTGGTAGTCAACTGTGACGATACTTACAAGCGAAATCTATTTGTAGATAGGCATTAGTTAGTTCGAGTTTAGCGTAGCATCTTCCTCCAATCAGAACGTAAATAGTTCCACTAGGTCTGGAAGAGGAGAGGGGTGTTGTTTTAGACTTGCATTTAGTCCAGCGAAGAATTCCCTGCAAATCCGGACTTTACAATTGACCTTCTTTGCTACGACGATTGGAACCATTGATTATGAGTAAGAGATCGTGGATATGGCGCCTTTGAAATGTAGATGTCAACCAGCGGTAAAGTGTGAAGAGAGCTGATCTCTTTCGACGGGAGAACTGTTAGGCGTAGATTGGATCGTAAATCAGCGTCTCAAATAAGGCTAAATGACCTTGCTGAACGGGCCTACGTTGTCCGAGATTTTGACGCAGCGTGATTTTGACAGATGAAGAGCACTGAAGATGGAGCTGATCAGGATACCAGGCAAACACAATAGTTCGGAGAACTTTTCGGGGATCCACGATCCACTAAGATTGGTTTCCAATTCCATTTACATTAATTTATTAACATTTGTTTTGGTACGCTTTTATCAAGTCAAGGTCAAACTTGACTTGAATGACTTTCGATTACACTTCTTCTCTA